GGGGGCAGGTGTAGCACTTCCTGCGATTGCAGGGAAAAGTGCCGGGTGTGGTGGGGCTGGAGGGGAGTGTGGAGCGGACGAGGGAGTCACGGAGAGAGTGGTCCCTCTGGAAAGCAGATAAGGATGGGGAGGGAAAGATGTCTTTGGTGGTGGGGTCGGATTGCAGATGGCGGAAATGTCGGAGGATGATGCGTTAGATCCGGAGGTTGGTAGGGTGATTCGTGAGGACGAGGGGGATTCTTTTTTGGTTCTTATTGCGGGGACGGGGTGTGAGGGATGAGTTGCGGGAAATGTGGGAGACACGGTTGAGGGCATTCTCGACCACTGAGGGGGGGAAGTTGCGGAAGCCTCAACTACTTCACTGGGCAGGGAATTCCACAGATTCACAACCCTTTGGGTGAAGAAGTTCCTTCTCAATTCAGTCCTAAATCTGGTCCTCCTAATTTTGAGGCTATGCCCTCTTGTTCTAGTTTCACCCGCCAGTGGAAACAACCTCCCTGCTGCTATCTTATCTATTCCCTTCATAATTTTATATGTTTCTATAAGATCCTCCGTCATTCTTCTAAATTCCAATGAATATAATCCCAGTCTATTCAGCATCTCCTCATAAACCAACGCTGTCATTTCTGGAATCAACTTAGTGAATCTCCTTATAACTCAAACTCTCCACTCCGGGAAACTTCCATGTAAATCATTTCCATTTAATAATATCCTTCCTTTGGCAGGGTGGCCAGAACTGTACACAGTACTCCAAAAGTGGCCTCACCAACATTCTATACAACCTCAACATTGCATTCCAACTCCCACGCTCAGTGGTCTGAGCAATGAAGGCAAGCGTGCTAAACAACTTCTTAACCACACTGTCTACCCGCGATGCAACTTGCAAAGAACTATGTGCATGAACTCCTCGGTGTCTCTGTTCAACAACACTTTTCGACATGTTAACATGACACGCACTGATTCTTTCTTCTGACTACGTAATTCACATCATTGAGTTATTTCTTGATTATTTTTATTCATTCATGGAATGTGGGTGTCACTGGCTTGGGTAGTGTTTATCGCCTGTTGCCCCCGAGCAGGTGGAGATTAGCAGCTTCCAGTCTTGCAAATCTACCGGCTGATCTGTGCATTAACACACTGTTATTCCTTCATCAAAATTTGGCACATTAAGGAAAAGAGCATTTAGAGAAATTAATCTGTTACTTTACCACATCCCAGCTCATCTTCTCCAGAAGGGCAGTCCTTAGTACCATCACACCGAGCTGTGTGCCATATACAAGAGGAGGATGTATGACACTGGAACTTTCCAATGCAACTGTGTGTAACTGCGAGAATTTCAATGAGTGATATGATTATTCTCAACTCATATCAGTTGATGTCTTAGAGTAAAGAATAAGCTTTAAATAAAGGTTGGGTTGATCTTCATACCTATACGTCGATTAAACTGGTTTTGCTTCCAGCACTTTCTTCCCATGAAAGTTTTGATTTAGATCACATTTACATGATAATGTAAGAAGACAGTTTATTTTAGCTTGAGGGAGAAGCTAGGTGGTTCAATTCAAATCCAAATAACGTTGCATGATTTGTTTAGATATGTACAACATTTTCATTTCAGCAGATAGCTATTCACATTAAGTCTGTAGCAATTACCGTTTCTGTGAAATGTAAAATGAAATGGTGTGTTTAAAGGGGAAGTTGATCCTTTTCTGCCTATTTGATGTCCCTTCCAAAATTGAAGGTTGCGCTCTGTGTCTCCATGATTGAAGAACTTTATTCGAAAAAAGAGTTATCTTCCTGACAGCACGATGTTAAGTTCATTAATTTCTTACCGTTTGTATCATAAGAACTTAAGAAGTCGAAGGAGGAAAAGACAATTCAGCTTCCAAACCTGTAATGCCATTCAATACAATCATGATTGATCTTTGGCTTTATTTGTACTCTTCCACCTTCTCTGCAAATTGCAGAGGAGGATGTTAAAAATCAATCTACCTAAATGTGAAGAGTACAACATCCATGATGCTCTAGGGCAGAGAATTCCAACAGTTCCCAACCTTTTGAAACAATAAATTTCTTTTTGTTTCAGTCACAAGTTTTCACCCTTGTCTTGAGACTGTCCCCCACATTCTAGATTCCTGAGCCAGGCAGAAACAAGCTTTCAGTAATGACCCTGAAAAGCGCTCTCAGAAATGTGTATGTTTCAATGAGATCACTTCTCATTCTTCAAACTTCTTTTTTCACAGGTGGGATGTGGGCATCACTGACAAGGCCAACATTTATTGACAATCCCTAATTATGTTGAGAACAGTTACAAATTGAAGGACAAGAAACAATATACCCCGCTACATTGAAGGAGCGTATTAGCTGAAATCCTGCCTCATGATTGATTTGGAATCATTAACGATTGAACAATGCCACAATCTGCCTGCAACTATGAGCCATAATCGGTCCCTGTCAAGGATGGATGGAACATGAATGATGCGTTAAATTACACTGTCATTCTGCTGTGTAAACACCAGGGGGAGATAAGAAACTGTCTTTGATGTTGTGATTTTCTCAATATATTGACTGATAGGCTAAGATAAAGAGATTTGAAAGGCCAGGCATAAGTGAATCTATGTCTGAGACCCACAAGCATGATAGTGTGACTGGGATACTCTAGGAAATGATATCTTCTAAACATGGTCATTGCATCAGGTAAAGAAGAATGGGAACCAGTCATCTCCTTGTTCAGGCCACAATCAATACTTTTGTGACCCATGGATAGTAAGCCAAACCAAATCAGACTTGCTGACACTGGATTTGCAAAACAGTGAAATTAAAACATTTGATGATCCTCAAAATTGCTCAATTGTTCCTAACCAGCATTTACAAATAACTGATCCTTCACACCAAGTTTACAACTTAAACCAAAATTAACAATTTATTTCTAATAATGTAATTTTAGCTGAACACAGACGAACATGGAAATCTAATTAATATCTATGATTTAGCCGAATCTTCCTTGATCCCCAACCCCCATCCATACAGAGGGTCTGGACTCATATTTATACCGACCAAAAGACCAAAACAGTAAAACTTGCCAATGACACATTTGGGTCTAACATGTTTCGTATACTTCAGGACAGTGCTCCAGTATCACCAATACATTCATTTCTACATATTGCTGTTTTTTTTAAAAAGTTAGTTTTTCCCTCTGGGAGACCAGGTAAGAATGGCAGTTTCCTTCCCCAAAGAGCATTAATGAACCAGACAGGTGTCTATGACAGTGGACAGTGGACAATGGTTACATTGGTGATATTAGATCAACTGTTTATTCTAGATTTTATTGACATCAAACTACTCCATTTGCCATTGTGAGATTTGAACCCATGTCCTCTGAACATTGACCTAAGTTTCTGGATTGCTAGTCCAGGAACGTTACAATGGGTGCTTGGAATACTATGAGAAAGCTACATGGGATTCTAATCTTTGCAAATAGAACAAAGAGTACAAAGGCAATTAAGTTTTTCTGTAACTGGGTTCTGAAGAAGACTCATATTAGACTCAAAGCATTAAATATGTTTCTCTCTCTACAGAAGCTGCCAGACCTGCTGAGTTTCTCAAGCATTCTCTGTGTTTATTTTAAGCTGTTCTAATCCATTATGGAGCAACTCAACTAGAGAATTGTGACCAATCGTGCATGCCACACTTTGGAAAAGATGCCTGAACAAAGGTGCAAAGTGGATGAATAAGCAGGGAGGCTGGAAAGCTGTGTTTTCGTTTTGTCCTTTTGAGCAGACAAAGTTAAGAGGTTGAGTGATAGAGATGTTCAAAGTAATTAAGGTTTTTGATAAATACGGGGGAATTGCTAAAAGTAGCAGAAAGATCCATGACTAATAGACACAACTCTATGGTGACAGTTAAAAGAATGAAGAAGTTTATTTTTAAACAGTGATTTGCTGTGACTCAGAGTGCACTGTCTGACAGGATGATCAAAACAAATCAACAATAATACTCAGTATGGAATTGGATAAAAGTTTGCAAAGGAGAAAAACAATTACAGGACTTGAGGGAAAGAACTAGATAAACCTGCTAAAGAGATGGAATGAATGGCATCATTCTGTCCTGTGGGAGTGTATAATTTTTTTCACCTGATTTCTCATTTATTGTTGTTTCTTTAAAGACACACTGTTGAAACCTCTGGGGTTTATTTACCATTCTGTGAACTGTAAAATATATACAAGAGACAGGAGGTTAAATTCTTCTGAAGTTTCCAGATTCCGTATCATGTTAGTTTGCCTCTTTACACTGTAAACTTAACTAAGCTTTCCCTCACAACCTCATGAGATATAATTAGTATTGTGAGGGTAGACTTTTTCAACATAACTACAGAAAAATGTATATTCAGGTTAGAGTTAATTTTGTAATCTTTCTTTTTGGTGAACAAGTAACTACTTTCTACCCATATTTTCCAAATGTAATGTGGAGACAATTTGTTTGTTTATGGACATTTCTAAACCATTCACATTTTCCCCCTTTAACCTGTTCTTCAATCTCTGCATCCACCCCTCCTTCCCATGACGTGCCCTCTAGCCTTGTGGAGGGAACTGTCCCTCTGCGGTCAACAAAGAGGCTGAGGAGAAGGAGGAGACGGGGTTGTCCTTCAGAGCCCGATGTTCCATACCTCATAGGCTTCCTAGAGCCATTTAAGTCCAGTGTTTGCCCCGAAGAGATGGGCTCTGGTTTGAGATGGGCTCTGATTTGAGATGGTCTCTGGTTTGCCCTGGAGGTCAAAGAACAGTACAACACAGGAACAGGTTCACTAGGACTTTGACATGTGACACCTTTTTGAGCTGAAAACCTTTTGCCTCTAAGAGGTCTGTATCACTCTCTTCTCTGCCCATTCATATATCGGTCAAGATTCCTCTTAAACATTGCTGTCGTATCTGTTTCCACCACCTCTTCTGGCAGCACATTCCAGGCACTTATCACACTCTATGTAAAAAAACTTGCTTCTCGCATCTCCTAAAAACTTATCCCCCCTTTACCTTAAACTTCTGTTCCCCCTAGTAATTGACATTCTACCCTGAGTAAAAGACTTTGATGATCCATTCTATCCATGTCTCTCATAATTTCATAAATTTTTATCTGGTCACCCCTCAGCTTCTGACATTCAAGTGAAAACAAATCAAGTTTGTCCAATCTCTCTTCATAGTTAATACTCTCCAAACCAGGCAACATCCTGGTAACACAGTGTGGAGCTGAATGAACACACCAGGCCAGGCAGCATCAGAGGAGCAGGAAAGCTGATGTCCCATCCTGGTAAACCTTTTCTGATTTTTGCTGTGTTCCTCCAGCCCCGCACTGTATTATCTCAGACTCCAGCATCGGCAGTTCTTACTATCTCTGATTGAGTTATAACCTGTTCTGTACCCTTTCTAAAATCTCCACATTCTTTTGGTAGTGTGGCGGCCAGAACTGTGGCCTTACTAAAGTTATATATGCCCTGACCGATGAAGGCAAACATGCCATATGGCTTTGTGACCGCCTTACCCACTTGTGCAGCCATTTTTATGGAACTGTGGATCTGTATGCTTAGATCTCTCTGTATGTTGATGCTTCTCAGGGTCCTACCATTTACTGTATACTTTCCTCCTGCATTAGACCTTCCAAAATGTATCAATTCACATTTGTCTGGATTATCTGCATCTGCCATTTCTCTGCTGACGTCTCCAGCCCATCTATATCCTGTTGTATCCTTTGGCAATCCTTCTCACTATCCACAGCTCTTCCTCTCGCTGTGTCATCTGCAAAAGTCCTTTACTCCATCAGTAATGCCTCCTAGTGGGACTGTTGAAGCTTCAGAGTATCTGGTCTGTCTAATTGGGGTTGACACTGCTTTATGGAGCCATCTACACAGCTTCACCTTGACACTTGGCTGCTCAAAGCCCATGGTAAACGTCGAGTCTGTGACAAAACCTGACTCATCAAGTGAGTTGATAAAATCTATGAATCTGAATGAAGAGTTGGATCACAGTGTCGACTGTTTTGAGGAATGATCTTGAGGGAAGAGCTAAATATTTGCATGAGCAGCCTCTGAAACTGTGCATTTCCCTATTGAAGGATTACAGGAAGTCTCTACTGTCTGCATTATTTTGGTAACTGACCCAGAAAGTGCTAACTCTCTATGAAGAGTAATGCTCCGTGACAACTAGTATAACAAAGTACTGAGACATCTTATTTAAATGGGCACCAACTATTCCCTTCATTATTTTACTCATGTCGGTTCTGAGGTAATTTTGTCCCCATTCCCACTTCCATCCCAGAAGGAAAAATCAGTTAAAAACCCAAAAAAATTTGGGAATGATAGTGCTACTCTGAACAAGTCTATTTTCAGCTATTCAAGATGAGTTCAAATCAGTTATGTCATTTCCAAGTTACTGGTTTTTCCTTTCCCTCCCACAACATGATGGACAGAATTGCCTGAGTCTTCTGCTGTAAAATTCAATGTAACAAAGCAATTGACTACGTCCATGTAAACCCATACAGGAATAAGTAAAGCTTTCAATCAGATGGCATCTTCAGTGTAGAACGAAACATCCAAATGGATTTCACGGAGAGAAGCGTATTTATATAGTGATATTTAAAAATAAAATCTTTATTCACATATGTAGAGGAGATGCCAACTGGAGTCCACAACGGGGGGCTTAATGAGCCTATACTTCTAACCTAGCAATTGTTGCACAGCTCCCAGCAACTTACACATAGCTGCAATGAGAGATAGTTAGGGAACAAGTGACCAATCTGGGTAGGCAGTGCCACAAACAAGGCAACAGCTATTTACTTTGCTGAGGAGATTCAGGCTTGACTTTGCACAGTGGTTTTCTAGACTACCAGCTCTGACTTTGGCACAAGATTAGTGCAAACCCATGAGAAGTGATGAAGACGTCCCCATAGATGTCCTGCCCAAAGTACAATGGAATGATTCAGAGGTTCCTGCTCAAGATTCAGCCGGCATCAGTCTTTCAAAGTGAAGAAAGAACTAGCATTTATATAGCTCCTTTCATACTCACAGGACACGCCAAAGAGTTTCTCAGACAATGTAGTCCTCTGTGAAGTGCAATCACTATTGTAAAATAAGAAAAATGACAACCAATTTGCACACAGTAACTTTCTACGACAGGAATGTGGTAACCTGTTTGATGCTGTTCTTTGGGGGAAAAGTATTATCCAGAACACCACTGAAAAATTAAATTAACTGTTCTGCCAGCTACTTTTATTATTTATTTATGAGATGTGGGCATCACAGGCTAGGCAGTATTTATTGGTCATCCCTAGCTGCCTTGCAAAAGTGGTAGCAATCCAACTTCTTGATCCACTGCAGTCCATTTAGACTCAAGTAATTTTTTATATTTCATAATTCATTGTCTGTCAAGATATATTTTATGGTGATTTGAGAGGACAAATTGGGTTTAACATCTCAAGTGAAAAATAGCACAGTGTGTTGTATGTGTTTCTTGTCTTTAAGATAATTCATCTTTCAGGACTCGATGTGTTGCATGTATACAATATTGTGACTCTGCCTGCCAGTTATTCTCTTGCAGATTTGCAAGTTGCACGCACAGAAATCCGCGAGTTGCTGTTATGTTTGCTTCATAACTTATGACATGCTTTACTATTTTAAGTGATTTAGAGTTCACTCAGCTAGATAAACAAAATGCCCTTAGCCATCTCACTCAAGCAGTGAACAGAATAATTACACACATTATTGCAATGACTTCGTGCACAGATAGTATTGTAAGACAATTCTCTCACCAGCCCACCTCCAGCTTCAAACCCCTAATATAAAGAGGATCAAAACCCTTAAAACGAGAAGAAAAAAAGCACGTTTTCAATTCTGAAGAGAGCAGGAAAAATGAACAGCTCAAAAACTGAACAGTGCAATTTATACTCACCGCCTACAGAAACGGCAATTGTAATTAAAACTGCACCAATTAGACCCACTGCTACCAAAATCAGAAACTTCTTTGATGTCAGAGTATGGCATTTTGAAGAGGTTATGTCCTGGTTTCCTGAAAAGTTTAGGAAGAAGACTTTTAAGCAATCATTTTATTTGATTACCACCTTTAACTCTGGAATCAGATGCATCTCTTGCATTATTTACCCTTACCGACTAATTATATCCAAATAATTGAGAGGGAAAGGATTTGTTTGTGATTGGGTTTTTCACTTTACCTTTGATCAGAGACATTTTAACATGGAAACAGGCCAGATATGGCAGGTAGCTGATAGCGTTTCCCCATGGTAGAGGAGTTTAAAACTAGAGGGCATATGTTTAGAGGGGTAGGAGAGAGATACAAAAAAGCCCAGAGGGGCATTTTTTCCACACAGAGGGTGGTGAGTGGCCCAGAGGATTAGCTCAAGCCTCTGAATCATGAAAACAATGACAGTACCATTATTTCTCCAAGTCAGAATGGTGTACTATTCAGAGGGGAAATTGAAATTGGACACAATGTTGTTCCTGTTCACCTGCTACCCTTCTGCTGTTGGTGGGGCTGGTCGTTGGTTTATTTGAGGGTTGTGTAAGCAATAGCAGATGGCCAGTTACTGAAGGTGGTAATGAGTGGGCTGTTTGAAAGATGAATGATTCATGTCTTTGTTTGTTGTGTGAGATGAACAACTTGCTGCAACCATACCCTTTATATGTTGATTCTGCAATATAACCTTCTGAAACAAATGCCAAAAGTCAAGCTAAAAGTCATATGAACAAAGACAGAAGAATCAGAAGAATACGCTCATTACCTGCCTCAACTGGCAATATCCTTGCTTCAAGTATGTTGGGGATTCTTTGCGCGATGTGGGGGAGTTCGATTGTTGGCAGCTCATCTTCTGTGACCGAAACGATTTCTAAGTTTGTATGACCTAGTTTCTCGGCTTGCACCTGCAGTTCATTAAACAAGCAAAAACATAATTAAAGTATGTGCCACTACTCAGCAGTAGGGATAAGGTGTATCAAATATTGATCTTAATGTATCTTTAGATTTAGATTTTAGATTTTATTGTCACATGTACTCGAGTGCAGAAGTACAGGAATACAGTGAAAAGTGAATAACATTGCCACACAAGGCGCCAAATTAAGTACAGAGGTACCTAGGTACAAAAAGCCCAAGTGTAAAGTAGTAAAAGAAATAAAGTTTAAAAATTTAAGCATTGTCTTAATAGAATAAGTAGAAAAAAATAAAGAAATAAGGTAAAATTAACATTAAAGTTCTTCTTAATATGAACTAGAAAAATAAATAATATCTTGCAGAGAGTTACACTCAGAGTTTGAGTTCAGCTCAATGAAATAAATGTAGTCCTGATTCTTCAATGTATGACTTCAGCCTATTTGAGATTTTCAGTACCAGGCGGTTGTAGGCGTAGATTGGGGAATGATAAGGAAGGGTTTGTATAAGTGGACAAGGACGGTGAATCCGGAGCGGTGGGCACTCGGCAGCCACTGGTGGTCCTGAAGAAGAGTCATATCAGACTCGAAATTGAACTCTGTTTCTCACTACGCAGATGCTGTGGACCTTCAGCATTCCTTGTGTTTGTTTCAGTCTTGGTGGGTTTGCAGGAAAGATGTTGGAGGCAGGACTGGTGGCAATAGCAATAGCATAGTAGTGTGAGATACAGCTGGAGTTTTAATAAATGATAGCTTCTGTGGGATTGGCAGCAACAATGGTATTTTAAATCCTGAAGCATTTTAATTATTCTTAAACTACAATACTCTTCTCTCCCTAGTGCCTTCATGATAAGAGTCACATTGTTTTTTTTGGCACAAGGCTTGTCATTTCATGTTCTATTCCGCACAGTGGAGAAATAGATAGGCTTGTCTCCAGCAGGTGTGACTATAATAATTTCTGTTTACCTAAAAGTGACTCTGACTCTGTTAATTTTTGACCAACTCTTTAATTGATATTACTCTTGTTTTCTAAGATGTACGGACAGAGTAAATTCTTCTGCTGTGCTTCAAATTAATACAATGGATTCTTTTTCCGATTACCTCCGCATATGAGGGGTTGGCATGGGCTTGGTTTGACCCCACATCCAAAAAATGGATCCTCCATCAGGGCAGCACTTCTTTGGCAATATGATAGCAACAGTTTTGGCACTGGCAAGAGGTACTAAATCCTCAAGAAACCTAAAGGAAAAGCCATTTTCAGTCCTCACCCAGGATGACAGGATTTTTAATTTCTATGTTATGGGATGTGGGTGCTGCTGGAAAGGCAATGATTTATTGCACATCACAAATTGCCTTAGAGAAGGTGATAGCGAGCTACTTTTTTTAAATTGCTGCAGTCCATGGGATATAGGAATGCCCACCATGCTCTTGGGAAGGGAGAATCAGCATCTTGACCCCATAAAGGACTGTAAAGAATCAATGAAATCGTTTCAAGTCAAGATTCAGTGTGAATCAAGAAATGCTAGTTAGATATCATTAAGACATGGTTTTAGACTGAAGGAGGAGCATGGAAAGTTTAGGAAGGTCAACAGTTCCATTTTTGAAGTCTTGAGAAAAAAAAGGACTGTGACATAATTGCGGTGTAAACAGAATGAAAATGTAATGAGATGGCCATACATTGCATGATGTTACAGTGCTAGCAACAGCGATGTACAAGGGACTGTGAAGAAATGGGTGGAATAGCATGTACCAGTTAGATATGTCCTCAAAAGTGATGTCACTGAAATAAGTTATTGCCACATTGCTGTTTGTGGGAACACAAATTAGCGATTGACATTCCAACATTAAACCAATGGCTATATTTCAAAAATACTTTATTACCTGTGAAACACATTTGGACTTCCTGTGCCATGACAGATATTATCACAAATGCGAGCCTTTCTTCTCTTTGATAATTCCATCCCTGCTTAACTACGCTAGTCAATCTATATTTCTCCAATAAATCTATAAATGATTGAACCTCAGGCCAAATCTTTAAGCTCCTAATTATTTGCCTCTTACTTACCTCTGCTGAAGACATTCCTCACATGGATTCTGTGAAAAACTCAAAGCGAGTACATGACCTAATCCAAGAGGATCCACTTGTCTTGCCAAAATCGCAATGAAAAGTGCAGTTGCCAAAGCTGCTGGTTCGATAATCCCTGTGTCAGGAACAATGAAAGTCGAGAGAACCAGCAAATGGCTCTGACAGTGCTATCATATTGCTTCTCCAGTGAGCAGGTGGCTATGGATACCAGGCAGGGCTGCTCTGTTTTTCATTATGATAAGAGTCACAAGGTAAACCAACACCAATTCATAGGCGATGTATCAACTTAACACCAAGTACCGTGCAGTATGCCTGTGAAAAGCTACATTTAGAATGCCCACGTTGCTCACATTGTTCCCAAATCGGACTCCCCTTTTTCTTTTGTTGCCTTAACATTTTCTGAAAATGTTTGTGTATTTCACGTTATGAACATTAATAACTGTTGGAAGTGAAAAGACATTCGGAGACTAAATTAATGATGCAATGCAAATTGGCATAAAGCGGGTTGAGGCACCTACTTCAAATCGTTTTGAAACGTGACACACAAATAAAGAAAGGTTGATATTGACCTAAAAAGTTGCCAAACTAAGTTGACACTAAAGGCACTGATTGACATTTAAATGCAAATAACACATACACTTGGGTAAGAGTAAATGTGTAACTAAACATAGGGGAGGCCAAGAGGCTTTTTAAGATTATCCACTCTGCTGTTGTTGCATAAAAATGTTGTCTTTCTGTCTGGCTCCCCATTCAATTAATTAACATAGAACATAGAACAGTACAGCACAGTACAGGCCTTCTGGCCCGCGATGTTGTGCTGACCTATTATCCTACTCCAAGATCAAACTACCCTGCATACCCTACATTATACTATCATCCATGTGCCTATCCAAGAGTCGCTTAAATGTCCCTAAAGTATCTGATTCCACAACAGTGCCTGCAGCGCATTCCACACGCCCAACACTCTCTGTGTGAAGAACCTACTTCTGACATCTCCCCTATACTTTACTCCAATTACCTTAAAATTATGGCCCCTCATAATAATAATTTCCAACTTGGGAAAAAGTCTCTGACTCTATCCACTCTACCTATGCCTCTCATCATCTTGTAAAGGTTTAAAAGGGACCTAAGGGACAACTTTTTCGCACAGAGGATGGTGCGTGTCTGGAATGAGCTGCCAGAGGAAGTGGTGGAATCTGGTACAATTACAACATTTAAAATGTACCTGGATGGCTATGTGAATAGGAAGTGTTTAGAGGGATGTGGGCCAAATGCTGGCAAATGGGACTAGATTTATTTAGGATATCTGGTCGGCATGGACATGTTGGACCGAAGGGTCTGTTTCTGTGCTGTACATCTCTATGACAACTTAGGGATACTCACGACCCTCTGGCCTCTTCCTCCTGTCCTCTTCCCTCTGACTCAATCCCCTCACCTAACCCCATCTCCTGACTTGAACTTACTATCCCTCCTGACCTTCCGCTCTCCAGTGCTGAACGTTCTGTACTCAGCGAAGGCCTCAGCTTTATCCCTCTGCGTCCCCACCTTAACGAATTTCAGACAGGACATGACATTGAACTCTTCTCTGTCACCTTCGCTTCTGCACCCATTTCTTTGGACAAGAGTCCTCTCCCCATCCCACAGACCCCTTCGTTCAGTTTCCCTCCACCTGGAGCCTTCCCTCTGGGGGTCCTTTATCCGTACTCAACCTGTTCATTGAGATCTGTCAATGTGACATTGGTCAGTTTAATTTCTCTTCCAACCCCCCATCACACATTCCAACCTATCTCCCTGTGAACTGACTGAACTCCATGTGCTCAGATCCAGCACTGACTTTGTAATTTAAGCCTGCTGACAAGGATGGTGCTGTTGTAGTCTGGTAGACTGACCCCTACATTGCAGATGCTGAGAGCTGGCTCTCAGATACCTCCTCCTATCTGCTCCTGGTCTATAACGCCACCATGGAATATCAGGCCATTGTGTTCACCACAGCGACTAACCCCATTTCACCTGGGGATCTTCCCCCCAGCTGCCATGTGCTGTGGGTAGATGCAGAATGGCTTTAGGAAGGGAATGACCCAGTGACAGTGAAGAAACGGCGATATATTTCCAATTCAGGATGGTGAGTGGCTTGGAGGGGAACTTGTAGGTGGTGATGTTCCCACGTATCTGTTGTCCTTGTCCTTCTAGACGGAAGTGGTCATCAGTTTGGAAGATGCTGTCTAAAAAGAGTTGGTGAATTTCTTGGTGAATGCAATATATATTGTAGATAGTACACACTGCTGCTACTGGGTGTCGGTGTCAGAGGGAGTGAATGTCTGGGGATGTGGTACCAATCAATCTTGGTTGACTTAGATGGCGTCAAGTTTTTTGAGTGAGTGTTGTTACAGCTGCACTCATCTGGGCCAATAGACAGCATCCCAACACACTTCTGACTTGTGCCCTGTAGATTGTGGACTTTAGGGAGGCAGGAAATGAGTTCCTTGCTGCAGGATTCCTGGCTTCTGATCTCCTCCTGTAGCCACAGTATTTCTATGACTAGTCCAGTTTAGTTTCTGCTCAATGGTAACCCCAGGATGGTGACAGTGGGAGATTCTGTGATGGTGATGCTATTGAGTGTCAAAGAGTGATGTTTAGATTCTCCTTTGGCAATTGCCAGGCACTTGTGTGGTTACTGAGTCAGAAGCTCTCATGACATTTAATCAGTATTGAGATATTCACTTGCACTACAGCAACCTCCAGGACTGTGGACAAAGAACTGGAAAATGGTGTTAATATAGACACACCTCTGTTGAACAGTGTGGATATGATGGGCTGAATGGCCTCCTGTGCTGGAAACACCTATGAATCAATGAGAAATGCATAAGCCACTGTGTGAACAGCTCGATCTGCTTGAGTGCTGACTCAGTGTGAGGTTTTGAGATGCACAAGAAAATGATGATTCTGCAAAATCATCAAGAGTTGGCTTTCAGTGGTGTGTCACTTAGCTCAGCAACAAAAACACCAGCAAGGGGGCCATGTAAAAATCATTAACAATATTTTGGTGCTTAAATATTACACACGGTGGATGCAATTTTCTGGCATTTTACCAGTATCTTCAAAGACTTTCTATAATCCAAAATATTTTGGCTGTACTTTCTGTATCCTACCTTTCTGATGAAGGGTCTGGGCCCAAAACGTCAGCCTTTCTGCTCCTATGCTGCTGCTTGGCCTGCTGTGTTCATCCAGCTCTGCACCTTGTTGTCTCGGGTTCTCCAGCATCTGCAGTTCCTACTATCTCCTTAAATATTGCGCCTTCCTCCTTTACACAGTGCACTATCAGTAACATTTTAACAGCACAAATACGGCAAAAATGATTTGATTAAATCAATCTCAGTTCATATTGGATGTGTTCACTGGATATTTGAAATGAAATGCCAGTGATAACTGCTTTTATCTAAATGTTACATACCCCAGATAATTATCTGACTGGGTGGGTTCAGTCAGGCTAATATCTTGTGACTTAAGATTAATAGCACATACTGGAAAGCTTGGACTGCTCTCACAAGATGATTAGAGTCTCTTCAGTTCTATTTTCCCTGTCGTTCTGATTCGGCCTCCCCTTGCTATTTCCTCGGACATTTTCATCATCATTGGTGGTCCCTTGCAGATGAGGATGACTCTCTTGGCTCAGTGGTTAACACTGCTGCCTCACAATGCCAGGGACCGAGGTTCAATTTCAGCCTTGGGCGACTGTGTGGAGTTTGCACATTCTCCCCGTGTCTGCGTGGGTTTCCTCTGGGTGCTCTGGTTCCCTCCCGCAGTCCAAAGATGTGCAGGTTAGGTGGATTGGCCATGCTAAATTGCCCATAGTGTTCAGGGATGTGTAGATTAGGTGGGTTATGCAGGCTGTGTCTGGGTGGGATGCTGAAAGGGTCAGTGTGGACTTGTTGGGCCGAAGGGCCTCTTTCCACTATGTAGGGGTTCTATGGTTCTTCCACCCTCAGGGCGAGTCCATAGGTGACTGTACAGACTGATGTGGCTATCACAGGCTCTGTTAACACTTGGGGCAGAAGGTGGTTGCAGGAAGAGGTGGGTGTGGCATTGGTGTGACAGCACACTCCTTATGCTCGTTTTCCTGGCTTCCACTTTTTTTCCTGACGGCAAGTCGTGAGGTGTTTGGGGCTTCCCAGATGCTTTTCCTCCACTTTTGGCCAGTCTTGGGCCACTGATTCCCAGGTGTCTGTCGGGATGCCACACTTCACCAATGAGGCCTTGAAGGTATGCCTGAAGCACTTCCTCTGTCCACCTGGGGCTGGTCTGTCATTTCAAAGTGGGAACCACCACAGTTCTGTAAGCCATGAGCTTGGTGTTGGATCTGATATTGTTGTTCTTGAACACCCTTTTCCTCAGATAGCTGTGCTAACACACTGTATCCCCCAGCCCACTGTTTATATAACTCCCAGTAATTCCTTGGACTTAATCCGTGGCTGTAGACTCTGCAGATTTCTGTTGAGCTCTTAATGATTTTTTTGGTAGAATTTTGTTGTGAGATCAGTGGAAACACTGTAAATGGTCATTCTGTAACCCTTGTACTGTTTCCCTGCAGACCGAGAGAAATTTCATGTCCCATTTTCTTTCCAATTTCTACTTCTCTAGGCTCTTTTCACCCTTTGATTCCAGATAAGATTGGTGTTTACTGTTAACTCTTTCTTTTTCTCTCTCTCGGCGGCCTGTCTTAATATTCCTTCCTTCATCTTGCCATTTCAGAAAAGCGGATTCATTAATTTTCCATCTTGCTGTTGTCCGCGATGCTGCATCATGTGCTTTCTCCCTTTCTTTGTTCTAGTCAAAAGAGTGAACAATGCACTTTCCAGGCAATGAGGGTTTTATGGCAATGTGGCTGCTGTAACAGTGTGGGAAATGCAGCAGCAAACTGAAGTGAAGCAAGGTCCTGCTGTGATAATGAGCAACTCATGTTATTTTAATAGGTTTTGCGGCACCTGCCTCTGATT